TATGTGTGTGTGTGTGTGTGTGTGTGTATAGTATGCATGTATAGAAAAAACTTCAAAAGAGCAACTGATAACAACAGAACCAGAATTTCGGCACCTACTAAAGGCTGAGAATGTAAAAGATAGTCATGACAAACGGAAATATTGTTCTAAACTCCTAACAAAACCATTAAAAATCGTTGCCAAGGAATTACGTACTATTAAGAATGCAGAAAAAACAAACATTTTTGCAGTTTTAAATAAATTTGATTATAATAAAAAGATAGAAGAAATACTTGATGACCATGCCAAATTTTAAAAAGAATCCTGTTAACCAACTGAAATTAAAATCAACAAACTAATCATAGCCAATAATGCAAAACAAAAACTTCCCAGAATAATTGAATTATAAGTGATTATGAACCCGGTTACATTTATGGAACAATAAAAACGCAAAAACCAAAATTTCCTCTTTGTCCTATTATATCCCATATCCCCACTCCTGTTTATCCATACATTCTCAGTAAATACAGCATTAAATCAACTATAGAATTAATACAAATCCTTTAATTTATAAAGTTGATAATGAAACCATTGCCTCACTTGATATTGAAAATCTATTCACCAATGTCCCAGTTAGAGAAACGATTTATACAATTATAAAAAATACAATAATCCATATCTCCCTTCATTAAAAACTAGAACCAACATACTACTGAAACTACTTTTAATTTATACTACTGAAGTTGTTTTCTTTGACCACACACACACACACACACACACACACACACACACACACACACACACACATATATATATATATATATATATATATATATATATATATATACAACATGATGGTGTTTCCATGGGTTCAGTTCTGGGTCTATCCTTTAGTAACTTTTATATGGCTAACCTCGAAAATGATGCATTTAATATTTTCAAAAGTCCTCCATCTACCTAAGATATGGTGATGCTATTCACATCTTAGTAAAACAAAAAAAAAACGTATTGATTAAATACACGAACTACAAAAAGAATTCCAAAAGACTTTGTCCTTAGATTCACATTTGAATTTAATAATAATAAAATTCCTTTCTTTGATATACAGATCGACACCAATAGTAATATATTCACTACCTCCCCTATAAAAAAAACTTACTACTATAAACTCGTACACTTTTAATTATAAGAGCGAATGTCCTAACTACTACAAAATAACTATCATAAAAATTTAATAAACCATGCAAAAGTTAACTCATCCACAAAAAAGTTTAATTGGACTGAGAACTTTTCAACAACCCCACATGTATTGTTTTTGTTCTTACATTTCAGCTCATGTCTCTCTGTTGGATGCAGAAATCAGTTTGGGTAGAAAAATGAGTCTCCGAATTATGGCCGTCTATCTGACAAGCACCTTCCTTGTGATTATAGCATGGCTCTCTTTCTGGGTGGACTACCAGGCCACAGCTGCAAGAATATCTCTTGGACTCATCACATTACTTACTTTGATTACCCACAATTCGAATTTGGTACCACACAGCCCAGCCAAAGAATTCTTATCCACCGATATTAAGGGCTTGGATATTTGGTTGACTGTTTGTCTTGGTTTTGTATTCTTTGCCCTTGTTGAGTTCATATTACTCAACTACTGCCTTACCAAAAAAGCATCACAGAAAAAGAAACCTTCCAAGTTATTAAGACTCCAATTCTTTTTTATTTGTAGGTTTAGCTACTTTTAGTATCTTTTCTATCAAGGCTTGGTCTGGTGATATACCTTCTTTTGAAATGGAATAACCTAAAAAAGATATTTTGTTAGAAGCGAACAGCGAACTAAAAAAAAATTAAACAATCTCTCATTAATAATCACTTTCCTAATTACATTGTTAATGAACTAAAAAGGTGATCTATTAGGAATTTTAATATAAATCAAATAATAAAGAACCTTAAACATATTAATCTTTTATATCGTAATCAGATGGATTCTAAATATAAACAAGACGAAAAAATCCTAAAAACTTATAAATTCTAATATATCCCCTACATATCCCAGTAAAAAAAATTAATTATATACTTTACTAAATTCAATACTACTAATTTAATGATCTACACTCATTCCCACCGATTAACGTATTGAAAAAAAATTATACGTCAGTTTAATTGTTCCGTGAGAGATTGCATTTCTGACAAAAAAAGCTAATATATGTTGGTTACACCATTGTCACGTTATCTAGAAGGCTCAGTCTACACATTAATGACTCTTCATCTATTGTTCAATATCTACAAAAAAAATCCTGACTACATTCACAATTTAGAAGAATATTAGTCGGGAATACCTGTATACTTCGCCAAGAAAGTAATAATCAGAAAGTACAAAGTTTTGAAGATATCTTTATTAATAAATTAAAACCAACACTTAACAAAATTAATTATGAATATAGTACAAGGTTCCGAAATGCTTATAGTATATAGTATTTAAAAAATATCTAAGTTAAACTAACAGTTTAAAAACAAGTAAAATATAACCTTCTATTAATAATTCAATTATTATCTAAGTTACCTCCTTTACATTAAAAATTTAAAATTATGAAATTGACGTTACGTTCACGAGCGTATTCACAATTGTAATCATTCAACAATAAATGATTTCACTTAGAACAATTTTTTTTAAAAAAATCCGCGTTTGTGACTTTGCGCCTAACCTGAAAGTTAACTGTTTAACAACAAAAGCAAAAATTTATTTCGGACAAACACAGTCATTTGTCTTAGCCATCATCAAACCACTGATGATGATTTTGAAAAAAATATCGAAAATACTCAGGAAAATTAAAAATATAACCGCA